GGCCCGCACGGCATCAGACACGCAGTGTCGTCTCTGCAAGACATCTCGCAACTACAAGGTACCAGCATTTCCCCGCAAGCTGCAGCAGACATGGCAGGCCTCGTGGTATCTCCAGATGCTTCTGCCTCCGTTCCATGGCAGGACTTCGCGCAGCACTGCTCAGGTCCATTTCAACGGCGACGACCAGCAGTATGCGATGGTGCGGGCCTCAACAGCGCTGCAGACAAGTCAATACCGCAGGGCAAAGCCACATTAAAAGCAGTATCGGAGCAGTGGATACAGTATCTGGCATCAGAGAATCTACTCCTGCACCTTGTGGAGCATCTGCACGAAGGCAGAGACTCGCACCCTTTCACAGAAGAGCAACAACGCCGCATCACCAGCATCGCACATGAAGTACTGCAACCTGGTTGCACCGATAAGAAGTGCACAGACATATCGCAAGGACAGCCCTTTCGTTTGGGAATCCTCCAGCTGTTTGCAACAAGTACGGGGGACCCAGACACAGCACTATGTGCAATGCTGGAAGAAGGGGTGAGCACAGGCATTTTCGACCCTATTCCATCCAGCATGCAGTGGGTGCAGCAACCTCACCCCATCGACGATGCGGACCTCGAAGGCACGCACCTTTTGCACTGCCAAGGCAACTGGATGCAAGCAGAGAAAAACTCGCAGCTCCTGGATGAGCTTGTTGCTAAGGAAATTGAGCAAGGCTGGGTGAAACCTTTCGAGGGCACGCTCGAGGACGCAGAGGCACGATGGCCGCACCGCACTGCAGTAGGCAAACTTAATATCGTCATGGCCGAAAACCGAGACCCGCGATTGGTCCTTGACAGCTCGGTCTGCAACGCAAATACCAAAAGCAAGATACCAGAGAAGCTTGCAATGCCCTCTGGCCTCGACGTGGCACGCACTTTTCAGCACGAAGACCCGCACGGCTCGTTCGTGGCTGTATCCTTGGACTTCAAGGCAGCGCACAAAGGCATCAAGCTCCGCACCGAAGACCAAGGTTGCATGCTCTTCCGCATCGCAGACAAGCTCTACCACTACGTGGTGTGCCACTTTGGGGCTCGGTTTTCCGCATACTGGTGGCAACGACTGGGAGCAATGCTCCTTCGCATTGTGCACGCATTGCTCGGCAAGCACGCACACAGAGCCTGGATCTACGTAGACGATCTACTAGCACTGCTTGCACGCAATGCATTTGTCGAACAACTTGCATTGCTGGTATGTTTTTTGACCGCTGTGCACGCACCCATTAGCTGGAAAAAAGCACAGCTGGGCCATGAAATCACCTGGTGCGGATGGACCTTCAACTTCGACTTTGAAACCATCCAGCTGGCATCAGGAAAGCTCGAGAAGCTGCAACTGCAGCTGCAAGA